AAGAACAAAATCTAAATCTATCCAAATTTACGCAAATTTATTTAATCTGACACCTCAGAACAAACACCCAAAACTTCAAACAAACGTTAAAGGATAAACAAAATTAAATATAATATTAATATCGTACTTAGAAGTTAAAAAGTTCAAATTCCAAAAGGTTTAAATATTTACTTCTCAAGTTTTCTTTTTTTTTTTTTTTCATCGTGTACACACACATTTATATTGAAATCGATTCTTCATCCTTCCAAATAAAATATTCTTTAAAATAAAAACTTCTGTGTGTGATAAGTCCTGCGATGAGAACTTTGTACCATATCAAATTAATGGATTTATTTCCAAGAGGAAATTGAAATAATATTAAAAAATTCTTTGTTATTGAATGATATTAAAATGTAATGGATAGAGAATAGAGTAATTCGGAGAGCTTAACATGTTTAAAAAATGTTTAATTATTGTTAATGGATTAAAGCCACAAGTTTTGTGGTTTTGAGAATAACCCTTACTATTATTGTAGTTCAGGACATTCAAAAAGGTCACTAAACCATAATAAATTACATACTTAAAAATAACCGAAAATGATTTTATAATATATATTGTTGCTGAGTCATATTCTCTTTTACTACTGATATTGACTATATTATTTTAACAGCATATTTAATATATATATGTATGCAAGTACATATATGAATGTAAGTAAATATCCAGATTATCTTCAGTAGTATATATATTATTTTTGATTTAATTCTTGGAAGGATTTGATACCAATTTAACTTTCGACAAATTTAATTTATTTTAATTCATTTTTAATGTTTCATTTAATTACTTTAGAAAATGGTTCAGAAAATTGAACTTTACTATATATATTAAACTTAACTCTAAGAATACTAAAGTGTAAAATTAAATGAAATACTTAAAAGGACTTTATAATTACAAAAAAAAAAAAAATAATAATAATAATTAATATTTTTATGCGACTGACCTTCACCGTAATAATCAATCCAAGTCTACAGTTGGAAAGTTCAGTACACTATGATGACTACATAAATTAAATACACATGACAGAAAATCTTGTGATAATCATTTAAATTGCTTCTTGACTTTGTATTATAAAATTATCTTCACATATTTTTTTAGTATATCTTATTGTGGCTGATATGTATAATATGGGGAAAAAATAAATGTATACTTGACATTCAATTTTACAGATATGCGTTCATTTTATTCCTCGGTATAATATATACAAAAGAATATAAAAAATATAAAATTCTAAAAATTTCAACTGAAAATAGCAAATAATTAAAAAGAAAATCCAAGTTATATTGACAATAAACGCAAAAAGTCTCTGACGCGTGTTAAAAATGTGATAAAATGTGAAAATCCTAAGAGTGAAAATGAAAGTTCAACAAATTTTGGGGGAAAATTTGTTTGTCGCTATAATAAAAAAAAAATTGCAATAAATTGGCAAATGAAAAGCTTTTCAGATATAATTAAATTAAATGCAAAGGTGAATGTAGAGAAGGAAAAGCTTTTGATTTTCATAATAGAATAAAATTCTGTCGTCAAGGGAATTGGCAACATAAAAAGAAAAAATAAATTATTTCCAAATTACATTGTATCTTTTGTTATATACGTACTACTTGGTTTTCAATTTACACATTATAACAAAATTATTTTTGTGATACTACGACTTTCTGATTAAAAAATTAAAAATAAAAAAATTAAACAAAATAAAACAAAAGATACATAAATTTTAATTATTATATAAAAGTAAGTAACACAATTGAAAACTTCTCGTTTCACTGAGATACAAAGAAGGATCTTTGCCAAAATTAATTACAAGTTAAGTAAGAAAACCGAAATACATCATTTAATAAACGAGTACATTGTAAGGTAAAATAATACGAACGCATTTCATAATGGGCGTGAGGGTTTACTTGAGATAAAAGTACATACAACAAGTAACAAAATGAACGTAATTTAATTTAGTGTAGGAAGACATGAACTTTGCTATACATAAATGTAAAATACAATAAAAAAATTATCATAAAAAAATTTAAAAGGCAAATAAACAAAAGAAAATAATAACATATGCAAAATATAAATAAAATAAAAATAATAAAATTTAATAAAAATAATATTAAAAAATATGAATAAAAAAACATATAAAAAAAACATAAATAAAAAAAAAACATAAACAAAAAAAAAACATAAACAAAAAAAAAACATATAAATAAAAAAAACATATAAACAAAAAACAACATATAAATAAAAAAACAACATATAAATAAAAAAACAACATATAAATAAAAAAAAACATATAAAGAAAAAAACACATATACATAAAAAAAACATATAAACAAAAAACAACATAAATAAAATAAAAATAATTTTAATAAAGAAAAATAATTTTAATAAAGAAAAATAATTTGAATAAAGAAAAATAATTTTAATAAAGAAAAATAATTTTAATAAAATGAAATTTTATTATTTCATATTTTTTTTTATTTTATAACATTTTATTTTTGTAACATATTTTTATTTTATACCATTTTTTTTATTTGATAACATTTTTTTATTTCATATTTTTTTATTTTATAACATTTTTTATTTTATAACATTTTTTATCGTATAACATTTTTTTATTTTATGACATTTTTTTATTGTATAACATTTTTTTATTTTATAACTTTCTTTTTATAATATATTTTTATAACATTTTTTATTTTACAAACTTTTTTTATTTTATAACCTTTTTTTATTATATTTTTATTTTATATATTTTTTTTTATTTTATATTATATTTTTATTATTTTATAATATATTTTTTTAATTTTATATTATATTTTCTTTAATATGTTTTTGTTTAATTTAATTATAATTTTGTTTATAATTTATATAAATTTTTATTCTGATTTTTTATTTATACAAATAGTTATATATATAATTAATATATACTTATCAGGTAATCAAAAATGCAATCAGTACTTAGTTTATGCATATGCATTAAAATAAGTAATATGAATAAATTCATATAGTATCATCGTTTTTGTTGCAAATTTATATTCAAATATACACATTACGCAGCACATAAAAATAAACTAAAATAAGAAAATAAGAAAATAATAAAAGTTCCATTCGGTTTAAAAGTATCTGTAGAAAACCTATATTGACATTTTCAATAAATAAAAATACGATAATTTGCAAATTGTATATGTGTAAAAGAAAAAATTGCATTTGTATTTTTTTATATGTTATTTTGTGGCTTATTTTTGTTTTTATAAAGGTTATAAGGTTAGAAATATCAATTTAATAATTTACTAGATGCAATTTATTTTATTTTTATTTTATTAGTTAAATTCCTTATGCATTCAAACGATTTTTTCCCTTATCTCATTAAAAAAAACTAATTATGAAAATATTTTATTTCTATATTAATAATACCATAATACCATAATACTTAAAGTAGCTTATACTCGCTCGTACACATATTATATACGGAATCTATTGTATCAAAAAGCGTAGGTTTAAGCATATTTAAGTTCGCCTACATAGACTTGTAGTCATACAAACAATTATATATGACATAAAGAATACAGAATAACCAAAAAATAAATAGCCAACTAATTTTTCTGCAAAATTTTGCTTTTTTATAATACTGTACTTCTGTACTTATTATGTTATAGATACAGTTCCGTTGCATATTCAAATTATGTAGGCGGTTTTTACATACAAATGCAAATGCAGTTTGATTGATATATGAAAATGTTGCGAGTAGTTTATAAATTTAAATATATTTTTTTAAGGAATAACAAACCTGGAAATGCAATAGTTAAGTTGTAAAATACTTTATATATAATATATATATACGACTCAGATTTTTACTTCTGGATATAAAAAATTATTATTTTATTCTAAAGTCTATTATTGATATTAAATTAATTTAAATTTTAAATTCAGTTATATAAATAAATATATCTATTTCATATATATTATAAACCAATTTATAAGATATTAAAAAAACTATTATATATAACAACAGAACTTACAAAACAGTTAAAACAATAACGAAAATAAAAAAAATAAAGCAACAGTTAATAATCGTTGTGGTGTTTGATAAAACTTAAGTGTGTATCTACTAAATCGCTTTTACTCAATAATGACTAAATAAAAAATAATTAAAAAAATAATAGTTTATTATCATAATGACACTTTTACTCAATAAGAGTAAGGTGTTTGATAAAATGTGGCTTCTTACTATCCAAAGCAGTTTTAATCAATAATGACTGTGATCATTTGGCAGATCCACTGTAATTACTATATGTTCCATTAAAACAGAAATAATATTTATAGAAGTATATCTTGAATATAGATTGCGCTTATTTTAGAGTGTGTAATGCGATGTTAGCTTTAGTTAATATTAAATAAAACAGTAAATAATAACATTAAAACAATAATTAAACTCAAAAAAAAAATTAATATAATTACGATAACGCTGTAATTTAAAAAATTATAAAATATAAGTGTAATTTAGTATAAATATTTATATTTAAAACTGAGTCACTGAAGTGCTAATGGAAATAAGTTGTTAAAAATAATATATTAAAAAGAAAACATATGAATATTAATAAAGAATTATAAATAAAATTATATTTTATTATATATTTTTAATGTTAATCTGAAGCTGTGGTTTGAAGAGCAGTTCATATCTTAAAAATATTCTACTTAACTGGCACAATTAAAATTAAAACTTATGATAATTAAAGAAACTGACTCACTATTTTTAAGCTGTTTTATCCCTACATTAATGGAAAAAAGTAATTAAGAAAATAACACAATGAGAGTTCAAGTAAAACAATTTTAAAATTTGTAACTCTATTATAATAATGCTGATTTCAAAGAAAATTTTTAATTAATTATATACACATATATATATATATACAAGTTTTTTCTTTTTTCTGTACTCTAATATAATAATTTTTTCTTAATTTAATAATAATAACCTGTGTATTTTGAGTTCAAATAAAAAAATTTATCCGTTAGAATATTCTTTCCTTTCCAATTTTATGTATTTGAATAACATTCCACATAAATATTTTATTTAAATTTAATTTTATTACATTACATTTTCACAGCGTGCAAAGATCTGAAAATAATCACTAAAGAGTATTTGCAAAAATAGAAATCTATTAGCGGTTTATTAAAAAAAAAATTACATCAATTATGGAATACGTAGAAGTGTTCTAAAAACGCACAATTTATTTAATCAAATTATAAATAAATTTATTTTGGATTGAGAAAAATGTAATTTTAATAAAAAAAAGAAGTGATTTTCAAAGGCCAGACCAACAACCACACACGCACGTACGCATTTGTAGAGTTACGACTTATAACAATTATTGGCAACGTTTACTACTAAACCGACTGGGACAAGACTAAAATATCAACTAAAGCCAATAACGTGAGCAGTAGAAGAAATACTCCACTTCTAGTTCGACTGCGTCAATGTGAAATGGAATAGAATGGCAAAGCATGGCATGGTATGGTATGGCATAGTTTGGTATGAAATAAAATGAAAGTTGCGCCACAGCCAGAACAGATACAGCGCAAATCAGTTCAACTTGAGCATACCAAAAAAAAAATAAAAACAAAAAAATTTATAAAAAAAAAAAAAAAATAGGGATGATGTGAGGAGTCTCAACGCTGGCTATGCAAAATTGGCGGTAACACATACTGCAGATTTGCAGATACAGATACAGACGAAGCAAGTAAAGTAAGCAGCAATTTGGAGACCAAGTCAGAGACCAGGTCGGTGAAAAGGCAGGCGACAGGCAAGCACCAGTCTGGTAAAAAGTGTTGTAAATCTGAAAACAACTACAAATTTAGCGACTGTAAATACACACAATGAAGTGGTATACGAGAAGAAAAGATGAGAATATACTACGTGACAATAAAGTTGTACAGACTTCAAGCAGCAACACATGAACATAGATTCACACTTATATTTCCAGAAATTGACAGCATGATATATACTAATTTATGTGAGATTCTAGTATAAATGTAATTGGGTAGATAGCTAGCTAGCTAATATAATGACTTCTTAGAGAAAATACTTTAATGTGAATTGCACACTAAAGGTGTTATTCATTATATATGTATATATACACGTCAAACACTTCACTTATGTCTCTAATGATGTCTGGCAGTAGAGTAGTATAGTAAGTAGTTCGTGCCCCAACATATACTTGTAAGCAATGTTATAAAAAGAAAGCATTGCATACTGTGTATTTACTGTATTCAGAATTTATGAAAGGAGAGCACTTTTAAAAGTTATTCTTAGAACTGTAACAAACTGAAAATTGTCTAGAAGAAAATAAGCTAACTTACTTGACTAACCATTAATAATTATTGCACAAAGAAATACTTTTTATTTTATACCAAGTTAAGATTTATTAAAAATACACACTTACTTGCTATAGTTTCAAGCCAATGTGAATTTATCAAGCCCTTCATTCAGTATTATTTAAAAGTAATATATTTAAATTCAAAAACCTTTAAAATTATTTAAAAGATTTTACAGAAATTGAAAATGACTTTTAATTCAAACTGAGTTCTGTTTTTACTAGATAAAATTAAATATAAAACAAGAAATTTATTCTTCAGTGAACTTGGTTTTTATTGAAATTCATATTTGATATTCTATACAATACAACAGCAATTACAGATAGCTCAAAACCTGGCTTTAAGAAAACTGTTTAAGATTCCATGGTATATTAGATCAACAGACATACATAGAGATCTTAGGATTGACTCAGTGAACAAATATATCAGAGACAGAGCTCTAAAATTATTCACTAAAGTTGATACGCTAATTAACCCCGCCCTAACAATCCTCAAGTCCACTTCTGGACTCTCAGGAAGATATGCTGATTTAAGGTCCGTCATCAACTAAAAGACAAATAAATGATATGATTTTTTTTTTAGCCTAGTTAAAGCCTAGCGTAATAACACTAACTCAAGAAGAAGAAGAATCAAGAAGCAATAAAAATATTAATAATGGATATTTTATCTTTTAAATTAAGTTATTATAAATTCGCATTGGAAACAACATCAACGTTTTTACTCCTTATCTACTTTCAGTAAACATATATCTTATAAATAATATCATATTTACGGGAGTGGGAAGATAGTGAAAAAATATTATCCATTTTTAAGTAAGATTGGCCAAGATATAAATATTAAGTAAGATTATTTAAAGTCTAGTTCATGAACCTCAATTAATCTTGTTTGGGCAATTTTCTAATAAAAATTTTCTTACTAATTATAAGGGTGTTTGAGCTAGCTATTGAGTCCTAGTTACGGCTTATTTTCAGGATCTCATTAATCTTCAGATTAACTTTTAGGTTCTTGTAGATAGTTGTACTTTTTATATACCAGAGAGTTCTGCAGATATTTCTTAATGTTTTTGTCTGCAATCTTTGGATTTTTTCTAGAACTTAGTTAAAAGAAGTGTCCCATAGTTATAACGCGTAGATCCACAAATACCGTTTTATCTTTGTGTTATAATCATTTAATTAATTATTTATTACTTACTTATTATTTATTTATTAATTTATTTATTTATTAATTTATTTATTTAGTATTTATTTGGAATAAAGCAGAGTTTGGAACAACTTTTATGTTATTGTCCTCCATTTTGCTCCACAATTCAAAAAGATGAAGATAAAACATTTCTTAGATTTACAAAAAATCGTGATAACCTACACAATGTCTACTATAAATATAAAACATTTGTTGGGGATGAAAAGTGAATTAGTGATAAATACACATAGACGTCTTACTTCAACTGGTACCGCTAGGGACCAGCAACCAGTCAATGTGTGGCTTACGAACAGCCAGGTTAATCTAAAATAACCTGGCAAATATATTGTGTTGTAATTATGAGATATTGATTGTATTAAAAATTAATATTGCAAAACTAATTAATTATAATCAATTATTTAAAAAAAAAATAATATATTAAAATATATGTATATTAAAAAACTGAATATAGTCACTGATACACATTTATCAGTATATGTTAGTAAAAATATAAATAATTATAGTTTCTCCACAACACGTTTTTCTTTTTATTTTAATATGTATTTTTATAGCAAAATTTCAGTGTCTTCAAATTGGAGTCGCTCTTATTAACAAATTATAATTAAAAATATTTTATGTTTAAAATTATCACTGGCCAATACTCAATTTTATTCGTAAAAGTAGCAAATATTAACAGATTTACAAAATTAATTGAATTTTCAAAAAATTAATGGATTGTTGTTGCTCGCCGATACTTTCAATTTTTTTTTTTTTTGAATGCAAAATAACAGTTCGTTCCACAGAATACTATCTGAAATCGCTACTGTGCTCCACTGCTGTTTAATTTTGGGTTCAATGAGTCGATACAATTTTTTCCATACCATGGCGTATATGGGTGGGAAGCATTATGTGAAAGCAATGTGCTTAATATTGTAGGTAAATATATTTTGTATCTCTATAAATGTTCAATGTATTTTGTCTGAACATGAAAGGGTATTTAAATGAACAATTTTGTGTATTAAGGGTTTGAAGGGAAAAGACTTAATTAAAAGTTGCACTAGCGTACATAAATAAAACGATATCAGTATCAGTATAGCAAAGTAGAGAAGCAAAACAGCAAGCCAATGAAGTGAAACAATCGGTTACTTAATAGAATAGAAGAGCTGCTAACAAAAGGTGGTAATGTAATAGAAGCAACAACCTTTAATAGGTGCGGTAAAAATAACTTGGTTTCTAGTGTTTTTATAATTAAAACACTTATTGAATTAAAAACTAATATATAAAGGCTTACTTAAATTAATTTATATCGCTTATTTAGTTTTCACTTGAATAAAATTATTTCTGCTCTACAAACACACTTCGACAAGGTCTTAACTATTGGAAAACATTATTTTAAACATTTATTTTAAATCTTTTTTTTCGTTGTTTCTGTTTTTTGTATTTTTATAGAACTAGATAATATGAATTGGTATTTGTTCTATGAGAAAAACTTTTAATTTTTATGTTTAGTTATTTTAGAAAGTATTTAATAATTTTCAGACCATGTAATCTTAACAGACATTTTTTTAATAAATCGTACTTTAATTATTTGCTCACCGGCGACTCTGTAACCTCTTTAGAAAAGCATCCCCAGATGGCAGATAAATGAAACCCTCCCGTAGATGGTTGATAAGAGGAGAATTGAAACAAAACACCTACCAAGGAATGCATAGACGTCAATCAACAAACCAAAAATCTAGTAACTTCTTTACAAAAAAAGGTTAGGTTTATCTTCCGGAGCCATTCGTCATTGACGATGAAGTACTGAGCAAAACAGCTATCGGAACTTCATATAGAAAGCGATTCAAATAGGCTACTCTAAAAGTGAAGAAGCTATGCTCACATTATATAAATTTTGCTTTATTGTCTTTAATTACAAAAAATATATATGATAATTTTATAGTTTCACATATAAAAAAAAATATAACAAATTGAAAATACAACTTAAGGAAAACTATAAAAATGGTATTATTGATACATATAAAAATTTTTTTTTATAAATTCACTTCCATTAGCAACAACATCCTTATTATCCAAGAACTATTTTTTTTTATTTTATAAATTAGTAAGATCCTTTTTCAAATGTTCGTAGTTTGTTCGCTCTAATTTTCTTCCTATTCCCATTTCAACCTTTCCCTCTATAATAGAATTACAACTTTTTCTTAGTGTTGGTTGAAGAAATATCTTAGAAAGTGGAAATCAAATAGAGCAAACCAATTTGTTTCTACCGGATATGGTTTAAATGTACTCATACAAGTAAACACAAGTTGACTAAACTTTTAACGAAACAGAAAAATATTTTAAGTATATAAATGTGAAAATTTGTATGGTGGGGTGACGTAAAAGTGAATCTATGTCATACATGTTATATTTTATATATAGTTACGTACAAAATAAGGTCAAGTAAATTCAAAATACACAAAAAAAAAAACTGCAATAAAATAAATATTTCATTTATAACACAGTTCCATCCAATGTTATATTATGTGTACTAAATAATTTATAAGAAAACATTTTTGTATTTAACATTTATAACTAC